GCAGTATTCAGTCATGTGCAATCGAGTGAAAATGATTAACAAGGGAGTGGCGGCCAGCATTCGAGGGTCGAACGGGATTTTCGCTGGGGAAGGGAGATGAAGAATTTCAAACTTGTTCAGCTGGAAATAACGCTGATCATGCTAGCTGTAGCTTGCCTGCTTGAAGTCCTTTTTTACACCTTTTACAATTTTGGACTGTTAGTCCACGATGGAGTCTGGATCCTCTTGAACAGTGGAGGATACACGTCTCTTGTTAAAGAATGGGCAGCGAACAAGTGTGCATAGTCACAGCTTAAAAAAGTTTACTCACACTCCTAACATAGAACTGACCAAAGGTCCACACACGTCTCCCACCCATTTCGGTTTTTTTTATTACTCAACCGTGAGGGACTTCGTTTCACAGAAACCGCAAACAAAATGTGCGTCCTTAAGGGCTTCGATTCAGGTTTCGACTGCATTCGAACCTTTAATGTATGTTCGGCAAAATTTATTTGCAGGGCCCCTCTAGATATCTATCCCCCCGCCCAACTGCGTAAAGTATTTTGTGGTCAGACATTTAATTCTTGGCTAGTGAGCGTAAATTAATATGTATTTGGGGCGGAATTGATCAAAAACTATTAAATTAAATAAGATTATGCTTGTTTTAATATGCTTAATAGAATCAAATTCAATCAACATAAACTTCTGTTGCGCAGGATACAAATGATAATCGAGGGAAATTCGACCTTATGTGGGTGGAATTTGACGAAAATGGAAATTCGTCCTCCTATTGGTGGAATTTAACGAAAAAAATTTGAAGTCAGGCTACCGAACTTTTGAAAGTGGTTTTGTCGTATAAGTCGACGGGATTTTTGGGGCCTCAATAATCAATCCTGCCGTATGTTCGTCCCGTGGGCACTCAGCGACCGGTTCTGGGACTCACTTTCGAGCCCCGCTAGCAGCCGCGGAGCGACTAGTGATATGGGATCTGAAACACGAACCCGCGACCTGTTAGCTAGAAGTCCAACGCTCGGCAGGACGGTCTTTAAAGGCCCTTTCGCCCTTGACTTATAACAATAACATACTTTTACGTTTTCAGTAAGCCGACTTTCCCTTTTTTCGTTACGTGCCGCCACGATAAGGTTGAATTTCCCTCACTTGGCATCAGTTGCCTGAGCAACAGGAGTTTATGTTAATGGATTTGATTCAGTTTAGTACATTGAAGAAAGTATAAATTTCTTTAATATTTTTAATACTTCCACCACAATTGCATATTCATTTACGTTTTGGTATCCGGCAGAGACAGGGACTTTAGTATAGCTATTTCGGGCCGTTGGCCTTCATCAGCTCAGCGCAGCCAACTCTAGTGTAGCCGCTGAAATCGCCGCCACACCTTAGTTGGCTGCAGTTAGCTGATGAGGGCCAACAGCCCGAAATAGCTATACTAAGTTGCCTGTCTCTGCCGGATACCAAAACATAAAAAAATGTGTTACTGACATTTAGCTAGTAGCTTTGCGAATCACAATCGGTTGGACCGAGTCGCAAAAGCACCAACCCAGGATGGGCACATCCTGAGAGGTAGATCGGTGTACAAGCAAAAAATATTCATTTACACTCACCTACCAAGAATTAAATGTTTGACCACAACATCCATTAGATAGTTGGGCGGGGGACTACGTATTTAGGGGGCCCTGCAAGACAGTGTTGCCCAACGCTCTAAGCCACTGAGCCACAGGTTTGTTGTCTTGTTGTTTGCGATGGGGAATATGATAAAAGGTTGGGTTCGATGAGAAATATGATAAAAGTTGGGTGCTCATCGACCGGCCATGCCAGTCTCCATTGTATTTGTTCGTAGTGTCGTTCTGCCTGAACTACTAGCCACGGCGCGGCTGCTGGCTGGACTCGAGAGTGATCCCCAAGGCACAACGGGATGGATGCGCGAACGCTCATCTGCCGTTGTAAATATTCCCAGTAAAAACTAACAAGATAACGAGTCCTTGGTCCAGTCATAAAAACACGAAAAAGGGTGCTACTTAAATAATTTAAGTACACTATGTAATGCGAATAATTTGAGATAACGGTTTAAGATATATTTCGTGTTTGGACAGTACACTAAGCAGTTAACAGCGTTATCAGATGGGTCCCAGTTATTCGTGGGTAGCTGTGGTCCGTAACGCACAATCTTGAGCCAGTTGGCGCACCCGCCGCTTGACGCTTTTGATAAAACAATTCTTCAGATACCAGCATAAATCACCCTTGGAAAACATTTTGCGCCATATTTATTTTTTTGACTTATGTTCCGTGTTTGTATGAATTCAGTCGTATTTCTCGGAAAGCGTCACTGAAAAAGTTGCGGGAACGGTACTTCCCGTCGCATAATTTGTCATTGGCGGACTGTACCTGTATTTAGGGTGCTACTGCACTCGTAGTTAACACCCAAATATTCTAGATTGGTAACGTATAGTAATTTAATAATGGTAGTCGCTGATCTATCTTAATTGTAGGATGATTATAGGCATTTACGCTTTGTTTTTTCGCTCCAGGAATGGCGATAATCAAGGCTGTCATGTCTCGTTGAACGTTCAAACATCAGTTAATCCATATTTATCGATATTAATTCCCAATGATTGATTTGTCCTCGTTACGCCATAGTTCGGATGGCCTTCAGCCGAAGCACTTCAGTACATCAAAACAGAAATGCCTTATTTGCGTCCCGAAATCAGGATGGACCAGTGAACGCCAACCCTGACACGGTCGATGCAAACATTTCGCTTCTTGTAGAGAATTAAGCTTTCTATTTGAAAATATCAGCCACTGATCAATTTTTGCCACCAATGGGCTTTTGCGCAGATACTCAAAGGTTTCTGTTCAGCATTCAAAAAAAGGCTATTCAGTGTGCCGGAAAACTTTTTTTTAAAGCCTCCGGACTCTCGCGCTCTGTGATATCTTTCCTGCCTTTGTTATCCCGCGGCGAAACGTTGATCAGCCGGACGATTTAGTGATGAAAGCGCGTTTTGTGTCTAACAGACAGCCATCGCAATCACCGGAGCAAGCTTGGAA